TTTATTTCAATCTAATCAAATCTTTTGAAATTGAGTGGAAATATTGAACAAGAATTTGAAGGAAATAATTACAGAAATAACTGATGATAAAAAAAATTTTAATTTTTGTTAAAAACTTAACAGAGCACAAAAGCTATATTTTTGCTAACCAAATGTCTACTTGTACCAATATCTTCTAATAATTCAGCATATACGATTTATGTAAAAAGCAAAAAAAAAAAGTTAAGCTTAAGCTTATTTTTAGTTTGGTAACTTTAACAGCAAAAAACTGTCTCTAGGCTATACAGCAAGACCTCCAGTTTACAGAATAAACCATTTTTATAAATGGAAAAATAGTAGAGGTCTTAGCAAGTTGCAAAACTTTGACTTTAAAAATTGTTACATTTAATATGAAAGTGCTCATAAAAATACTGAAAAAATGATTGCAAACAAAAGATTCTTGTAATTATCTTCTAAAAAGTTAGAATACTAGCTTCTAAGATCACTTCTTTTCGCATTTCCCTCAAAAGAATCCTAAACCAGTCTTAAAATAAGGTTATTTTTTGATATAGTCATCATTGATAGAAAAAAAAATAACTCCATTCTTCCAATCCCCATCATTCTTGTAAACCAGAAAACACCTCTACTTTAAAATAAAGACCCTAAAAGAAAATGTCCGCCGGGCAAATAGCACCCTTGGGAGATTTCCAGTTTTGAATAGCTCTTTAAGAAAAGAGCTGAGTTTATGAAGAGTTTTGGATTTAAAGTGAGAAGGATATTTCCAGAAAAAATAGTTTCATAGTACGTCCCAAAGCCCGTAGCACTAATTTTTTAGAAAGTGCTTCTATTTGCATTGCCTGGGCTTAATTGTACTTTTTAAGACATCGTTTTGAAAAATAAGGGTGCACAATTACGAATTCCAAAGCAGAAAATGCAAAACTGTTTTCCTCAGTATACAAAGTATAACTGAGAAAACCTTGAAGATTAAAGCATCAGATACTGAAATATGCAGTCCTTAGCTGTAAACACATAATTAAATGACGATAAAATTCAGATTTTATAGCTTTTATTACGCCTTTTAAACTAAACCTTTCGGCTGTCTGTCGTGTAATGTAACACCTTCTAATTTAAAAACTTGTCTTATTTACTCTTTAACGACAGTTTTCTGTTGACAAAAAAAAAAACAGTGAGAAATTCCCATTAGTTACAATTCTATAATAAGGTTGAGCAGACGGTCAGTCACAGATGTTGATAACCTACGAGAAATAAATGTAGGCAAAGTGTCTCGGCCTTTGCAAATTACAGAACTAAACATAATACATTGTTCAGCCAACAGAACTCGTAAACGCAAAAATCGATGTCAAGACTGGGGTGGGCAGTAATTATCTTGCACTATTCTTACTCATTCTGATTACTTGTTCGCTTCGTTGTATTTCTACACTTTCAAAATTTTTTGTGGAAATCTTAAACAAAAATAAAAAAAAAAACTCGTTAATGGAATACTTTTTTCCGACAACAGATCAAACTACATCTTCTATAGACTTGAATAAATGGTTATTCAGATAATAGTTTCTAGTTTTTGCCAGCTTAGACTCTAATAAACATTTTCTGAATAACAGTAAATTTTACACGTTTGTTGTCTGATAAATGACCCAGAAACAGAGTTGTTGGACCGCACTAATAAGAAATGGAAAATTATGTTGGTACGGCGGAGATAAAATGTGTTGCACAGCGACGGATGAACGGGGTATAAATTCAGCGTTCCAGCAGTAACCAAGCTGTTAGCACTACCGAGGTATCATGCCGTATTACAAGCTCACTTACTTCAATCTTCGAGAACTAGCTGAGGGCGCCCGGCTTATTCTGAAGTATTCGGGCACAGACTTTGACGACATTAGACTACCCATGGACGAATGGGAGAAAATTAAACCCGGTACCATCTCGCATTTATTTATTAAAAGCACCAGTGAGTGTTGCCCTCCTCTCCTTGTAAAAAGAATGATTATAAGCCGTCAATTTCAGGAATGCCTTTCAGGCAAGTTCCAATTCTTGAAGTTGACGGAGTCATAATTCCGCAATCAACGGCTATTTACCGATTTCTTGGGCAACAATTTGGTAGGTTCATTTCGCTCTCAGCAAATTCTGCTATTTGCCAGGTTGGTCATATTTGTCATTCTATTGCCGTATTGTTTGCAGGCTTGGTACCAGATTCGCCTATAGAAGCTGCTCTAGTTGATGCGGCATACGATGCACATAAAGATTTCCTAGTTGGGTGCAGATCATTCTTTTCCATATGTTATGGATTTCTACAAGACGATAGAGTAAGAACTGCCAGTTGGCCACTTTATAATCCTTATAAATTAATTTATTTTTTCAAAAATGCATACAGTGCCAGCCTTTAAAAACTGTGAACAGGCACTGAGAAGCCTCATCTGCGTTATATGCTAAAGAAACCTCTGTAAAAAATTGGTTTACAGGAAAAAGCTTTAAAGGAGAGTGCAATACCAGCGCGCGATGTCTACTTTTCTGGACTAACTACATTTTTGAAACAATCTGGCAGCGGTTATTTGGTTGGCAAAAAACTATCATGGGCTGATATTGTAATCGGTAATCATCTTGATGGCATTTCTGATTTCTTTCCAAACCTATACGAAGGTTATCCAGAAGTTAAAGATTTTGTTTCCGGAATTCTGGAAATTCCTGCAATAAAAAAGTGGATAGAGCAACGTCCCAAAACGCCATTTTAGTGTCTTAACTGTTCTTGCTTTACTTACAGTTAACTTTCCTCTTTCACATGTCAATAATAAATTGTTATTTGATGAACTACTGTCCAAAACGTGGACGACTTGTCTTTTAAAACCTGAATCTCTCCTATCGTTAAAGTTTGAAAAAAAACAATATAAGGATTGTATTGAAACTGAAAAGACTATGAATGAAAAAAGATGTTTGCATTTTGTGTTACGCTTGATAAAATTGATCCGACATATTTAAGTCAAAAATTAGGTATTACAAAAGGTTACTAAAAAAAAAAAAAGAAGAAAAAATGACTATAATATCAACTATAATGTCACTGTAGCCCAAATGGTCTATACTTTAGTTATGAACAAAGGATATTGATTTGCATATCCAATTCTAGCTAGTTTTAAGTGGCAATGAAATGGCATTGTTCAACAACCAATGATACTTTTTCAATGATCTCCGTCAAGTAGGTGAAGAAGGATAATTGAACTAAACTGACGACCAGTAAAAGTTGTAAACGAAAATAAATTCCTAAAAAATCTCAAAGAAAAAAAAGAAGCAGTATGCAGTTTTATATTTGACAACAAAACAAAATCCCTTTCTCCCAGCAAATCAGTCGATGTGAATAGCAGAATAGCAATTTTCTCAAAAAAACCAGTTTGTTAGCAACCTCATTTATGCTGCTGTAACTTTGTGGATTTGTCAAATGGCAAAACGCGACCTATGGAAATTCCAACATCTGAAAACTGGTGAAGCCAAGGCTGATCTCTTCTTCATTTATAAACTATAATCAGTTTAGTGTCAAATAAAGGAAAATTTTTATTTAATTTACAAAAAAAAAA